TCAAAAAGTTCATTAAGGTCAAGTAATACTAACATAGGTGAGATAATTAACCTTTTGTTTTAGTTCTTTGAAACATTTCACATTTTTTTTATCCACACGTAAAGGCTTGACGCTTTCTTAGTAAGTTGAGTCAAATTAAGGCATATCAATCTCGGAGAATCCTTCAATAAATCTCCTATAATACCTAGCCAAAGCTAGAAAGGTATGAATTTCAGCTTTGGTGTTTCCCAATGCAAAACCACTTCTACTTTGGTTAAGTCTACAAATATTCCATTCTTGGATATCCATGCATGTCCCTAAAAGATATTAACTCTTTTAACCAAAACTCACATTTAGACAAGTTAACATACAATTAATTATTTGTCTTTCAAAATTGTAAAAATAATCCAAATATGTTCATCATGCTCCTCATGAGTCTTGGAGTAAATGAGAATGTCATCTATATAAAGACAATTACAAAGTGATTTAGAAATGAGTGAAAAAATATGTCCACATAGTCCTTGAATCCTATAAAAGCATTTAGTTACACTACAAGAAATGTTACATATAGTGACATACAAAAAGTCTCACTATAGGTATAATATATGTAGGTATATATCTACTTAACATATAGTTACATACAATTTTAATGTTGATTTGGAATGAGATTTAACAACATATTTTGTGACACTATAGCTTATACCTACACTTTTTAACAGTATACTGACATACTTATAAATTAAATTTTAATATTTTAAATAAATTATTAATTAATTTAATATATTTATTTACCTTAAATCAAGCATATAAAATTCAAAAAATGTATTTATCCTTGTTTTTTTTTTCTTATAATTATCAACTATTAATAAAATACTAACTTAAAATCTTATCTAATTATATATAATATTCTCATATCAAATTTAAAACCAGATATTAGTTATACAACAATATTAAGATCATATAGTAAATTGTCAATAAGATTCTAGTTAAATAATTTAAAATAATTAATGTTTCAATTATATTGTTAATTAGCAAATAATTTATTTTAAAACTAATTAATTTTTTATATTAATTATTAGTAAAATTTAATAACTTTTAATTTAACAATTAATTGGATTGATGAAATTCAACACACCATGAGCTAATTAGTTTATAATTTATAATAACCTAAACATATAATTATATATAGGTAATATAATATAAGTCATACCTCACACACTTTGATTTATATTTATCTTATTTATATTTTGAAAACACCCATATAATAATGAAAATATTATATAGTGCATTGTTGTGTGTATCGATGCGATTAGGATTGGTTGCATTTGAAAAATAATTGGCTTAAATTTTATTTAATAATTTCAGACGGATTTAAATCCGTGGGAAATTCTGTTCAGAAATTTCAGATGGATTTAAATCCGTGGGAAACTCTGTTCAGAAATTTCAGACGGATTTAAATCCGTGGGAAATTCTATTCAAAAATTTCAGACGGATTTAAATTCGTGGGAAACTCTGTTCAGAAATTTCAGACGAATTTAAATCCGTGGGAAACTCTGTTAAGAAATTTCAGACGAATTTAAATTCGTGGGAAATTCTGTTCAGGAATTTCATACGGATTTAAATCCGTGGGAAATTCTGTTCAGAAATTTCAGACGAATTTAAATCCATGGGAAATTCTCTCAGAAATTTCAGATGATAGATTCGAAGACTTGTGGTGGTAAATCATACAAGCAACAAATAGAGTTAATTAAGTAGGGTGCAATTTTAGCATAACAGAATATCTATGCTAATCATATAATCAATTTCATGCATGTGAACGTTGATGTGCATCGAATAAACAAAATGTATATTGACTGTAGAAATCATATCCTTCATTCGATGTTAACAGAATTACAATTCGTAAGGATAATGAAAAGGATTCAGAAGACTACACTAAGCTATGCTACGCTACGCTAAAAAGAAAAAAGAAAGGGTGGTCGAGAAATCGTCCCCAGCCTTCTCGTGCACGTGAGCCATATGCGCAAGCGAAGAGTGCGTGTGAGGTTTTGTGAGTTTGAGATTTCTGACCCCTTGCTACGAGCATGACTCGTCAATTTATAGAGATTTGGGGAATTGAATTAATTGTATCTGACGTGACCCAAATGCATAACCGCTCTAAACCTCCACATTGTGGCTCATTTTCGGGCATGTCTCTTGATAACTCCTGGAACCGCTTATAACTTCCCTAAATTGTTCTCCAGTCTTGACACTCATCCCTCGATTTACTTCGATCGCTCTTAATCATGTCTCTTTTACGTTCTTCATTCTGAGAGGTTGCGAAGTATGCTCGTGTATGTCCAGATCCCCGGGATTTCGAGTGACCTACGAAAACATATACTTGAGTGTTTCCTGATTCTTCTTGTACTTTGAGAGGTTTCGAAGCCGTGTGGCCTTTTCATGAGCAGCAGCTTCAAGGTTCAAGGCTTTCGAGTGTTTCAAGAAAAGTGTCTTCGCGTATCTCTTGATTCTCCTCAGGCTTCGTATATCTCTACTTCAGAAACTTCTCCGCTCTTTTCCGATCATCTAAGATATCGAGAACCCCTGTATTTCAAGTATCTTCGAATTCTCTTTTCTGGTACTAACAGGTCCCTTATAATATTTGTTTGTTTCAATTTAGTCCCACTTTAGTTTTTGGTTTCAATTGGGTCCCTAATAATTTAAATTATTGCAATGTCGAACTTCCGTCCAAATTATTTAAACGGAGTTAACTGTTGGCCACGTGGATGCCACGTAGATGCATAAGTGGATCCAAATTTCTTAAATACACCTGGAACCAGAACGGCCTGTTCTGAAACCAGAATGGCCCGTTTTGTTGCACTCATGTTGTGTGTTAATTTTGTATCTGTTATGGTTTTAGAACATGCTGTTCTGGATTCAAAACGGCCCATTCCAGAACGTCAACTACATACGTACGTTCAACAAAATACCGCAATGTGATTCAAAAATTGAAAATAAAAATTCATAACATATTATAAACTCAAAGACAGAAATATGGTTCAAAAACTGAAAACAAAAATTCAAAACATAACATATACTAAAAAAGTTCAAAGAAATTATTGGGAAGAAAAATCATCTGGATAACGTTGAAGCTGGTGCCAATAATACATCTTATCCACCATATAACACTGAATGGCTATTATCTACCTGTACATGTGGTTGTGTGGTAAAATATTGGTTCTGTGTATTCTCTTCCTTTACTTTAGGTTGTATCTCCTCAAGAACAAGTTATTGTTGTTGGGGTACATCGTCAATGACTTCAAGGGGAAACACTATGATGTTTCATCCTTGACTGTATATTATCAATTTGGTAGTAAGTGGTTCACTCTAGTTTGACTAACAATGAAATAAAACCTGCTACCATTGTCCTTAGTGATACATTACATTGTCCTTAATGATACACTGTATAGCCCAAATGTTTAGCAATTGAAGTTATCAATCCCCATTGACAATATTACCAAATCCAATATTTGAAATGCTTTGTACCTTGGGTCTTTTTCCTTGTACGATTCACAACCGTGAACTATAATCATCGATCGTTTGTGTTTGACATTCTAGAACCAGAACGACCCGTTCTGAAACCAGAACGACTCGTTCTAGTTACACTATTGGTGTGTTAATTCTGCATCTGGAACGACCCGTTCCAGGTACAAAATAACACACCAAGAGTGCAACTAAATAGACCGTTCTGGTTCTAGGTGTATTCAATAAATTTGGCATCCACATATGCATCTACGTGGCATCCACGTGACATTCACGTGGCCAACAATTAACTCCGTTTAAATAATTTGGACGGAAATCTGACGTTGCAATAATTTAAATTATTAGGGACCAAATTAAAATAAAAAATTGAAGTGAGACTAAATTAAAACAAACAAATATTATAAAAGGACTAAATTAATATTTTAACCTTTATACATAACCTAAAAGTCGTATCTTTCTTTTTTAATTACTAATAAAATAAGACCTCCCAAGTTGATGCACTAAAACAAAAGAATTGTTTTTCATGTAACTCTTCTAATTGTATCTTCAATTTAACTAACTCCTAATTTGACATCTTATATGTGCTATTGTAATTGGCCCAATACAAGACATTAAATAAATTGAAAATTCAATTTTTCATATCAACTGGCAAACCAAGAATGCCATATGGAAATACTTTAAGAAAATTTTGCATAATTGCTTTATTTTTTAAATTGACTTCCACATTCACTTCTATAAAAGATAATAACAAAAATCTTTTAATTTTATTTTTCGAAAATGTATTTATTCAATCGACAGGTGAAATCATAAGATCGTCATGATTGAGAAAAATTACATACTTCTTTACACGGTTGAAACTTGAGAAGGTCATAAATAAAAATAACTATTCCATACCTAAAAATATATCTATTACAAAGGTCGGACGATTAAAATCGTTGTTCTTTATAAAAAAAATCGTGGTTAAAAATAACTATTCCATACCTAAAAATATATCTATTACAAAAGGTAGGACGATTAAGTTCGTTGTTCTTTATAACAAAAAAAAAAAATAAATAAAAAAATCGTGGTTGACCCCCACAGGACCACCATCTAGAGGACAGCAGTAACTTTTCGAGAGAAAAAACTGAAATACATTTCTAATTTCTGAAATTTGAATTGCATGCATATGTTATCGGTCTTTTAATTTATATTTATTTAATTAATAAAGTTGCATATAGTTTTGAAACTAAATAATTAAACATGTGTTATCAAAGTAAAAATTTAATTTTAATTAAAAATAATACCAATAGATATTATAAAAACATATATAAAGTGTATATTATGAAAACATTATTACGTGTGAATTCAATACCTCATATCCAAATTTCCTCACGTGCCCGACACGAATAGTTGAAAATTCCAGCCTCGTAGCATTATATATAGCAAGACACGTTGGAACTCATACCTCACCAGCAAACTTGCAAAAACAAAAGCACAACCCCTACGGAAATAAGTAACCATAAATGATGAGAACTCGTTTTGCTATATATCTTAGCTGTGTATTCCTCTTCTATGGTACATTAATTCAACTTTACAAATTTCATTCGACCACTTCTCTTTCTATTTTTTTTATTGACTTAATTGTTCATTTTATATTTTATACATTGCAATTGTGCAACTTTAATATCTGGGTTCCAAATCCAATCGCATAAATTAGGTCCTATGCATATTTCAATTATGATCCCTTCTTCAAATTTTTTATTTATTAAATGTTTAACAAATTTTGTTATTATTACACTAGACGATGACATGATAGATGATGTATTGCACCAATCTGTGGATTATTTATGGTAAATCTAAAATATAATTTATATATTTAAAAATATTTGTTTATATATAATTTATTATAAAGTTTAATTTTACGATAAATATGTTATATGTATATTTCACGTACTAAAATACTAATTTTATAATATGAACAAATATTTTGGTTGGCATGCAGTGGCTCAAGGAGCGAAGGTTACATTCACAAACCAATGCACATACACAGTATGGCCAGGAACCCTAACGGGTAGCCCACCTCAACTGAAAACAACGGGTTTCGAGTTGGCTTCAGGAGCCTCCAATTCTGTGGACCTTCCATCTCCATGGTCGGGTCGGTTTTGGGCTCGAACCGGATGCTCCGACAGCAACGGAGGGTTCACCTGCGCCACCGGTGACTGCGCCTCCGGCCAAGTCACATGCAACGGCGACGGTGGAAAGCCACCCGCAACTTTGGTGGAGATTACCATAGCGCCAAACGGAGGACAAGATTTCTACGACGTGAGCAACGTGGACGGGTTCAACGTGCCCGTGTCGGTGACCCCGCAAGGTGGGAGCGGTGAGTGCAAAACCTCGATTTGTAAAACTGATAACATCAACGCTGCGTGCCCCACAGAGCTCCAAATCAAAGGCTCCGACGGGAACGTGATCGCTTGCAAGAGTGCTTGCGTGGCTTTCGGGGAAGATCAATATTGTTGCAAAGGAGCATATAACAGTACCGAAACATGTCAACCTACCAAATACTCTTTGTTTTTCGAGAACCAGTGTCCCGATGCTTATAGCTACGCTTTCGATGATATAAACAGCACTTTCACCTGCTCCCAAGGGCCTGACTATGCCATCACATTCTGTCCTAATTGAGAATCCTCGACCTCTACAAAAGACACACTTTGTTGTTGCTCCTCAATTAATCAGTATAAATAAGTGCATATATACCATTACCAATTTATATAATGAGCCATAGGTGAGGCATAAATAAAGCATTATGTGTGCTTTTGGTGACGACATGAGTAAGGGCATACCGGTATATATATTATAATTTAAATATTTTAATTAATTTTATTCAAGTGTGTTTTATCTTATCCAAAATGACCATTTTGGACTTGGTGTTCAATGTAACACCCAAAAAGTACAATATTAGAAAATAAAATAGAAAATATTTTTTTTGTTCTAATAGTTACTTATTTTACATGTCATAATACTAAAATAAATGTCATGTAGTAATACAATACTTGTTAATAAAAATTACTTTTACTTAAACTATATATAAATACTATATATGTTCGTATATTATTAAAGAGTGTAAATATATATATAGACTATAATGACACATAATATATGATGTTAAATTTTATTTAAAATTAATACTAAAATTATACGTAGCTAAGTTATATGTCAAATTGATTTTTATATATATATATATATATATATATATATTGTATCTTTAGTGACATTTTTTTTATGTCACTATATACTTGAACGAAATTAGGTATTACTAGTAGTTATTATTAATGAAAAAAATTATGAAAAATAGTTAGTTTGGCTTAGACCCATTAATGAATAATAATAAAGACAATAATATATTATGTGGTTAATCAAGTAATTAAATAAAATCAAGTTAGTAAATTATCAAATTAACTAGTTTAGATTTTTTTTCTTAAAAAATAATATAACATAAAACTTAGGTAAGTGACTAATAGAGATATTATAGGGTGATTATAAATAGATTTACCAAAAACTAAGTAAGATTTTGTAGGTCTCACTCAAACACTAGCTTGACCCCAATATAACTAAAAAAAATAAGTCTCCCACCACCTTCATTTGTGTGTGTTGACCAATTTGTGAGGGAGAAGAAGAATTTTCAAACACTCTTCACTTTGTTCTTTCCATAAGTGAGTTCTCCTACCCCTATCCTCAATACCTTTTTCTCCCTTTCAACCCCTTTTTCCTCTTCTACATTCTTCATTTTCTATTAAAGCACTTTGGAGCTTGTAAGGAGACTTTGTCCTTGATACCCACACTAAAAACTCTTGATTAAGGAGGTAATAAAGGAAGGGGTTGGACTCTTTTTTCTTTTTTATCTTACTATTTGAAGGGATTCTTTAGTCCCTTGTTACATTTATTAGTATTTTTGAGTTGTATGGAGTTAATTTTCTATATGTCTTGTTTGAAAAAATGGAAGTTGTCCAACACCATTTGCGAGGGGCTAAAACTTTGTTTTAATGCTTCAAATTAAAATGATGTATAGTATATGAAAAATGGTAGTGGGGTGATATACTATCTATTGAGACTTGTTTGCATATGAAAATAACACAATAAGATTGAAAAAGTTGTCTAAAATTTGCATCTATTGGTGCCTACGGATTGAACTATATAAATTAGGAACTATGCTCTAAATTGTGTTTGGGGACTTGGAATATGTATATTATGAACTATAAAGATATTAGAATTAATTTGGTTGAATTTGAAATTAATTTGAGTAATGTATGCCCTAAAAGAGTGACTTTTGGCTCAAATAAATAATTATATTCATGACAACTTCTTTTTTATGTTTAAACATAGTTCAATGTTTCAAATTGTGTTTGGAGACCTGAAATGTGTGTATGTTATGAATTGTAAAGATATTTGAATTTAATTTGATTGAGTTTGAGTTCAAGTTGAGCTTGAATGTGACTTGAAAGTGTAAAAAAAATATCTTTCAACAATTCAAAGAGACTAATATTCTTTTTAATAATTAAAGTGTCAATTGTTTCTAGAGACTGATTTAATATGAGTGTTATTTTTAAAGATTTTACTAATCGAATATTAAAGTTGGTATATCTAAACTTTTCTTAATTCTTGGTAAATCTCTATGATAAAAAAATAACATCAAATTATCATGTTCTATTTATATTTGAAGAAAATTAAACACAAAATAAAGGCTTCAAAGGATTTTTTTTATTACTGGGAGGATATTTTTCATAAAATAAAATATTTTATCAATTACAATACAAATATGAGTTTTATGCAATTTTTCTTATTTTATAACTCCTTGATCCATTAAAAAATTAATTTTAAATTATCTATAACATAATAAATATCTGAAAAATTAGATAACAACATCTATGTGTCTTGAACATGAAATTACAAAAAGTTGAATGTTTACGAAATGGCTCCCGTTCTTATATTACCCAAGATAAAAATATAAAATAATTCTTCTTCACATATACGTTATTTTTTATGGTTAATGATATTAATTAAGTAGCACTTCTATTTTTAATATCATGTAAATCATAAAAGTTTATAGAATAGTTATTTACTATCATAAGCTTTTATGTATAAGGTAAAATAAAAATTATCATTTTATGAAAATAAAAATAGTTATTAATAACATTAATTGAATAACAATTCTATCTTTAATGTTGTTACAAGAGTTTATTGATTAGTCATTTGCTAACTTAAATTCTTGTCTAAGTTTTTTTTTTAAAATAAAATAAAAGTGCACAAATATGAAAGTTTTATTTTAAGATCATATCAAAAAAAAATATATCAATAACATTAAATGAATAGCAATTCTATCTTTAATGTTATTGCAAGGGTTTAATGACTAACCATTTGCTAGCTTAGATTCCTATGCAAATATTATATTTTTTTAAGATAAAATGCATAAAAATGAAAGTTATTTTTTTTAAGAAATAAAAATCATACAGTAGTTAATAATATTAACTGAATAGCTAATATATCTTTTTCATGTTATTGTAAGGGTTTAATGACTAGTCATTTGCTAGCTTAAACTCTCATGCACAATTTTTTAAATACTTAAAAGTTGTCATCTTTTGATATATATATATATATATATATATATATATATATATATTATATATAA